TGGCTTAGCTGCGGGGCTGGAGCTGGGGGAGAGGCTGGGAGCCCTTGAGGGGGGAGGGGGTCATGTCCGGAGGTGCCTCCCTGTCCCTCAGCCCTCCACGACCAGCGTTCGGGGGGACAGACCTTGGTTTCAGCTCCTGGAGCCCCTGTGTAGGGCTGTGGGGATGCCCAGTGGTCACCACCCCTAAGAGCTGTCCCCCTCCACCCCACAAAGCCTCTGAGGCTGCTCCGACGCTGAGAACCGCTCGTCTCCAGCAGCGTGTGCTGCTCGAAACTAAACGAGGCACAGAAAACAAAAGGAGGCCAAGGAGATTTGGGTCCACCCAAGGAGATTTGGGTCCACCCAGGGAGATCTGGGTCCATCCAAGGAGATTTGGGTCCACCCAAGGAGATTTGGGTCTACCCAAGGAGATTTGCATCTACCCAAGGAAATATGGGTGTGGCCAAAGAGATTTGGGTCTGGCCAAGGAGATTTGAGTCTACCCAAGGAGATTTGGGTCCACTCAAGGAGATTTGGGTCTACCCAAGGAGATTTGGATCTGACCAAGGAGATATGGGTGTGGCCAAAGAGATTTGGGTCTGGCCAAGGAGATTTGAGTCCACCCAAGGAGATTTGAGTCCACCCAAGGAGATTTGAGTCTACCCAAGGAGATTTGGGTCCACTCAAGGAGATTTGGGTCTACCCAAGGAGATTTGGGTCCGACCAAGGAGATTTGGGTCCACTCAAGGAGATTTGCATCTACCCAAGGAGATTTGGGTCCACCTAAGGAGATTTGGATCTACCCAAGGAGATTTGGGTTTGGCTAAGGAGATTTGGGTCCGGCCAAGGAGATTTGGGTCTACCCAGGGTGATGGGGACTGCGGGCTGCCATGGGTCACCCCTCTCCCACCCACGCTGTCACCACCGAACCCTCCCCAGGGGGTCAGTCTGGTGTGGGACCACCTCGGGCATAGGAGATGGTAGGAGATGGTTGGAGGAGAGGTTGGACGTGGAGCCAGGAGAGAGTCCCGGCAGTGAGAGGAGATGGTTTGGGGTGGTCCTTGTGTCTTGGGATGGTCTGTGTGTCCCGGGATGCCCCGTGTCCCGGGATGGTCCGTGTGTCCTAGGATGGTCCATGTGTCTCGGGATGGTCCATGTCCCAGGACTCTGCATCCCCCCGTTCCTCTCCCAGGACATCTCCAACCTCCCCCCCAAGGGTTCGGTATCCCCAGATCCCGCAGGATCCTTGTCCCAGAGGCTTCCTGGCCCTGGGAAGGGGCCATCGCTGCGCCCTGGGCCAGCGCAGGGGACCCTGGGGGTGCAGGACCCCTCCCCAGGGCTGTGCACACCCCGAGAAACCTCCTTGGACAGGGAGAGGGGGGGTCCCCGCTTCTTGCCCCCCCACCACTCCGGGATGCACCGTGCCCAGGCGCTGGCTGGGGGATGGGGGGGGGAAGGGGCGGGGAAAAGCTGCTGTTCTCCCCCAGATTGGGCAGAAATGACATCATCGCCGGTATATTTAATAATTAATAATAAATAATATGCAAAATGAGCAATACACAATACATTTTTTCTCACCGCCTCACAACTAATTGCACAGCCAGTCCCCGACCAGT